CATAATCCTCTATGTTATCGAGTGATATGGCTGAACGAATGTATTTATTCATGATGTGTATGAAAAGTTTATCGAAACCTAATAAACTGACAATCTTTCGATTCCTGAGCGTTGCTGACATTTAGACTCTTCTTTAACCCACTCCACAATACTCCAGTTTGCGTTTTCTTTTGTTATTTTTGTTGATGAATGTTTCAAGATTTCTCACCTGAGTTAACAGTTCTGTGTGATGATATTATAGAGAACTGAAAAGCGAAAATAATAAATCGTGATCATGGTAGTCCATATGATTACTTTCAAAGCAAATACTTATTTTGTAGTCATGATGGATAGTGGCTAGCAGTGGAATCCAGGATGTGCATTTCGTCCTATTTGGGACTCGTCAGCTGGATGTACCTGCCGTTCACCCGGATTAGAACTCCAGACCGACCACTTCAAACGCCACAGCGTTATCCATTAGACCACTGAACCACTAACCGTATGCCGATATAGACCAATCAATTGGGTCCGATCAACGACCGTGTAATACAAGCAATAACACTAATTACTTGGTTATTTAAAAATGAAAAAACTACGGAGAAGATAATTGTCTTTCCGACAACTCATTTTTACAGCTGTACATTTCTTAATATATAAGCAAAGAGATAGGATGTTCCAGGCAAGCGTCCCTTCAAAAGTCAAACTTAATCGATTGCTTTATAGAGAGAATGAAATGAATTACGCAACGCAGAAATGGTCTCAATAGTTTTCTGTGTAGTTGTTGCAATAAAAAAATGAACATACAAAGAAATACATAAATAAATAAATGAAAAGAGGTGCAGAGTATCAGATTAAGGCCATGATGGAGAGAGTTTCTTACATGTTTCTTCTCAACGCGAAATTGACATTTGAAGATGTGAGTTGTGAAAGCTTCGCCTATGCATAAGTGTTTGATCTTCATCCTTTTTTGCCGGTTTGTTCGTACTCTGTAAATAATTTCGGACAAGGTTTCTACAGTAGCCAGGTGCCTAGAGTTTACAACGAGTTTAGAGATGCAGCTAGAGATGGTTTTGCGCTTACATTTCAGAAACCATGCATATTAATGTTGTTGAGTGTGTTTTTCAAGCAAGCGCGCATTATGGCCGATGCATTCAGCTCCACAGAAGCAAATGAACTTGTAAGTGCACATCAATAAGCCAACTTGTCTTTTAAGCAGTGACGAATCAGCTGTTAACATGAGAATTTAGTTCAGAGGTTTACAGTGAATAAAGTTTTTTGCTTGGAAAATTTAAACAATGACCAAAGATTTCTGAAGCGATGTCACCTTAGAATCTGAGGTTTATTAAAAGTATTCTTGTTGACGTTGTATGGGTCTGATCCATGGTCTCAACTCCCTTCAGATTTTTCTTCACAAATATGGAAGGGTATCTATTTCTTAACAGTATTTCTCGAACGGTTTCTAATTCTTGAATAATTGTATCATCGTTGCATATTTTCCTTATTCTTGATAACAGTTAGAGCGTAAGATCCCTCTTCCTACTTAGACGTTTCCAACTTTGACAGCTGGGCAGTCGCTCGTTCTAAGTCGGTTTCCTAAAGTTGTATCTTTGAATCGAATAGTCGTATCTCTTTGGGGGTTTAATATCGAGGAAAAGGAACTTCGTTTATGATTCAGCTTCTAATGAACATTTAACTCAACGGGACTGTCGATGGACACATCGTTCACATATGTTTTGTATTCATGAAACTGATCGATTGTTAGGAGCAGTGTACTATTCTCAAGGCTAGCAATGAAACAGTCGACACCTACAGACCTAAGAAGTAATCCCACTTCTTCACCGTCATTCTGTCTGTAAATCTCGGTATAACATTTCAAGTGGACGTTAAACATACATATTTTGAGAAGTTCTTTCACATAAATTCAAAGAGCTGAATGACTCCCTTAAATCGGGTTCCCAATGCAAGCAACCAATTAGTGGATTCATCATTGCGGTCCACGTTGACTTATGTAATTTTAGCAGAGGCAATTTCTTGTCAGCTGCACCTGCCTGGGAATTCTCACTTATCGGTTTTCTTCATTTAAGGATATATTGACACTTATCTAACATTCATAAGCCATAAATAATACTCAGTGCATTAGCAAAAGAAGTTGTTGGAAGCGCTATAAGTTTCTTGTTCGTTCGCAAAGCAACGCAAGATGAAAATATCACGACTGATCAATAAAAAAACTGTATTTGAACTAGATTTCTTGCCTGTTTGCACTCATCAGCAACGTCGAGAGAGATAGTGATGTTACCGGTGAGTTATTCAATACATAATTACCTTCCTGTAGGAGTGGATTCCATGCAACCAGCCGACATCCATCAAAGTAAGCCTCCTAGCTTGGTGACAAGATTGCAAAGTGGTCGATAGAATTCAGTCAGCCCTCAGGACTAAACGACATACATTTGGTGGCGTTCCGGTAACCAATTAATGAGTGTAACTCAGTCTTACATGATGTCAATCACTGTCCGAATAGGTCAGTGGTAACAACGTTGACTACAACATTGGATGACACGGCTTCAATTCCCAATATGCCTGGCTGATGAGTGCCAACAAGCAGGAAACCTAGGCCCCATTCAACTAAATTGTTTTCCTATGGGAGATTTCGCAACCGACTTTTTATTCATGCGCACGCGTAAATTCTTTTTCCTTTTGTGATTCGAGTTTGTAATATTCAGTGAATATTAATCACTGCTTACTATGATCGAATTTCACTCTGATGTAATATATTTGGAACGTGATCTTGGTTAATAAAGCGCAATAATAAATAAGGAAACTGAAATCATTTAAGTACTCAAGAGATTTGTGGTTATCTATTGGTCAAAAAGATTAAGTAGGAATCTCAAATTCTAACCAGAGTTAAATTCACTATCAACTTCAGACTGTTCTCTTCTGTCTGTCGCGCTAACTCAGTTTTTTTCGTTAACACTTTCACTCTATTCAATCTAATTATCATATAATTAGCTGTTAATCTTGTCTAGACGTCTTGAACTGAAAGAGCGTTACGTTAAATACTAGGAATATACATCAGAGAACTATATTATTTTGTGAATGAAGGAAAAGACTGAAATTCAACAATGTACATATTAACTTATTTTATTGCAACTGGTTTCATAAATTTACAAGCTAGCTAACACTTTTCAGTGATGATATAAGGAAAGACAGGCTGGTTTCAAACTTTGACACACGCCCAGACATTATGGTGTAAAGAAAATTCAGACACAAAGCAGATGACTGATTGAGAGTTACACACTTTATTTGGATGTTGATATAAAAACTGTAATCTGTACGAAGAATATTCTTTCCGATAGAATCTCATCAAGTTCTACAATTTTAAAATGCATTTGTACAGCGTGGAGTCAAACCAAGTGGCGGAGGAGAAACATTTTCAAAATCCAGTGAGATTTAGGGACTGTAAACAGATGTATTCTCCTTTTTTGAAATTTGTCATGTTTTGGATGACAAATATATAGCTAAATAATATGATGGTTAACGAAAAGATAGTGAATAAAGAAGACAGAGATGGACTTTAGTTTACTGAAGGTCAAGGTAGGATTAAAGCTTGAACATATTATTTCTGGATGCATAGTTCAGGTTTGATGAACCTTATTGTGATAGCCTCTACTGTGTTAAGCATGCATTGGAAAGTTAAACATGATATTCTTTTTGGAATATGATGAATAACAGAGGAAGCGTTATTAGTATCTGTGTGATGCTCTATGTCTACTAGGCGCGCAAAGATGGAAAGTTTCATCCTTTTTAACTTCGTCCTTTCCGCACCAATCTGGTAAGTGCTGTCGTTTCTGAAGATGCACGTGCATAGTCGTAGGCCTCATGTAAATAGGTCCACATGTACAGTTAAATTGATATATGCAGGATGAAGAGCTAAGATTAGATAGGCTTTCAGTCTCGGATTGAGCAGTGGCCGACCACTGAATGACATACAACTAGACCTGCAGAAAATGTCTTATTGACTGCTATAGCTTAGCGTTGTTAAAGAATGTCACTCGCAGTATCTTCCCTGAATAGTAAGCAGAGAAACAAAAGCGTCCTCTCCACTGTCATCAGTTCTCGTTTAGTATCAATGTAGTTGACGTCATCCCAATATCCGTTTTCATTCAGAATATCATATATGCACAGTCGTCCTCTTTTCTGACACTCTTTCGAACAAATTGACCCTACTCTAAATGCCAGGCATCGGTTTTCTATTTATACTTCACTTCTTTTTTGTCGTTGGCACATAAAGAAAATGTATGGGATCACTGGCTTCATTCTCATGCGAAAAATGAACTGACAGATGGGTGCCGTTGAAATGGCTTACAGTAGATTTAATAGGCATACACCTATCAAAGGCTAAAAAACTACCATCAACATTTGAACACTTCAACTTCATGCTGAGAATTCTCTCTTTCAAATGACCATTTTCCAGTTTTGCAAAAACATATCAACCAATGCTGGACCAAATGAAAATCTCATAGCGACTTCATAAAATTGTATGTACAAATTACTGCAGAAGATGAACTTAAAATTCATTGTACATTTTATCAACGGGTTCTTCCTCCTTGATTGTGTAGTACCAAGACTACAAGTAACTGGTGGGGATAAAAAATTACTTTCTACTGCCCCAATTTGCAGTTTTTAGCTACTTTCGAAAAGCGCCAAATAAAAGGAGATGATATGCATAAATGCATTCACTGTGGGTAAACAGTCATAAAGTACGCTTTATACTGTTCACCATTTTTGTTCATTGAGGCTAGAGAAGTGTAGAATCCATTACCTAATTACTCGGTTAATTTCAGTTGGCTAAATGACAGGATGCATATTCTTCATGACACTTAAATAGTAACGTTTACTTTTTTCCATAAACATAGTTACTATTTAATTAGATTTTCGACACTTAATCATATCATACAAGAATTCTAGTTTCTTTGAAGTAATCTTCTGAGTCTACACGTTTTATTGATTTATTTATTCTTTAGGTGAGGCACTCTGTGATTTCTGGGTATGTTCAGATGTTCTATGTTGCACAGCATCTATACTTCATTTGGTTGGCATAGCCTTAGATCGTTATTGGGCTGTCACAAATGCAGAATATATTCGTCGAAGAACAGGTCGCCGGATAGGCATTATGATTGGTATTTTCTGGTTTCTTTCTGTGTTGATTTCAATACCTGCACGATTTCATACTACTAGATCATATAATTATGGAGGATATTCGTCTTACATTAAACTAGAAGGACCACCAAGCTGTCGAATTAATCAAGAGCACGGTTACACAGTGTTTTCAAACATTGGAGCATTCTATATGCCAATGATATTCATAATCGTTATTTATGCAAGGATTTATCAGGTGGCTAGAGCGCGAATTCGACGTTCAGCATTCAAACAGTCTGGATCGTCAAGTCTAAGTATGGTTGGAAGAAGGCAAAGACAGAAACGCCAATATTCATTGAGGAAAAGTTGTATAATTGCTGTTGTCACTACCAAAAATACAATGACAAGAATTCGATTAAATTGGCTTATGTTAAAAATAACCCTCAATTGGTACAGAATAATATTGTACAGGAGAATGCTTCATCTTCACATGCTGTCGATACAGACTGTACAATGATTGCAAGAAATCATACTGCTACTAAAGAATTACTCACAGTAAAAAGGCAAATGAGCACAGATAACGCAAATGATAATAAAAATTGCTGTTTCATGCATCAACTGAACGATGACGTATCAATACCATATGTCGATGAAGTGGAGAACAAGTCAGATTATAATTCCATGGAACAAATGAATGAAGATTTTACACATAAACAATTTGTCATTTCAAATGACCATATAAAACAAAACTTAAGTAATTGTGTCTGTATACCGAATAGTTACACTGCATTATGCTCAAACAAACAAGATAAGAAATCATGCCAGAAACAGTTGAAAAAATCGAATTCACTAATAAGGCTAGATTATCAATTAAATTATTCTCCTAACGATCACGACCAGTTCATTAAATCTGATCCACTAAGATATTCATCAATATCTAGACACACAAATTCTGCACCGCCAATCCTTATCCATATCACCAACTCTGGTACACTTCTTTCTGAACTAACTAATTCTTACTCTCAGTTATCTGGAACAAATACAGACCATACAAATTCAGTTATGTGGTCGTCTTCATCATCATCATCATCATCATCCTCATCGTTACCATCATCAATATCGTCTTCATTTTCAAGATCTTCGTCTTTACCAGTTGACACTCACTTCAATTATCGCCATGGAAATCATCATCACCATCACCATCGACATTATCGTCGCCAAGGTCATCGCAGTCGTCCTAAACTTCACCATCATCATAATCTACATAATCACGATCATAGTCATAATACGGGAAGAAGTGAAGTAACTAAGCTGAATAAATATCATAGTCAGTTTTTAGCTGAACTGAAGACTATTTGTAAGTGCTATTCTTCAAAAAATTATAGTCAAGAACGTCATAACTACCTATCAAATAAATCAAATACACCAATTACTGAAAACTCAGAGCTCAGTAAATTGAAACAAAAAAAATGTTGCTGTTTGAAGTGGCAAAATAAATCTTCAGCCGGCTACATTAGTAAAAATAACAAGGATAGTCATGAATTTTTTGTTGATGCTATAGATCCAAGCTCAGAGTTTTCAGTTCCACAAATGACCACTAAAAATGATAACCATCGTAAAGGAAGCTCCAGACTAGACAACCATGTTTCTTTAAAAGTATCAAAAAGGCAGACTGTGTTACGAAGTAAGTTGTCTCAACTCTTATGCTCAAATGTTAATCATCGAAAATTAGAAGGATCAGCATTGAATTCAGCATCAAATATGAATTCAGATTTATCAACGACTTCAATGAAAGAAGTGAAACACTTACAACCACAAAGACATTTGACGCTGACAACAGGAACTACAATAATTGCAGCGATAAACGATGAAACTACTATCACATCCAATCTTATAACAGTCCAACAGACACAAGTGAATCGTGAGCGTTTAGAGACTAAACGTGAACGTAAAGCTATACTAACGCTAGCTATCATTACAGGATGTTTTCTATTATGCTGGTTACCATTCTTCATTGTTGCCTTAATATCTCCATTTACAGAGAATTTTACAATATCTAAATTTGGTCAAAGTACTATTTTATGGTTAGGTTATTCTAATTCTCTACTAAATCCTATAATTTACACAATATTTTCACCAGATTTTCGTAATGCTTTCAGAAAAATTTTATTTGGACGATACAATCTACGTTCACTGTCTAGATGATTTTATATACTCTACAATAATCAATCATAATATAACCAATCTCCACTATTGTCTCATGCGATATCTGAAAGGCTGATGATCCAAACTTGGAGCCAATTCACACTGCCTTCTTGAATATTTTTCAAGCTGTTTTAGAAAGCAGAAAGAATCATTTCAATGTATAGAAGTCACTTAAAATCTTGATATTCAGTGAATTCTTTTCAAAGCAGACTAAAACATTCCATACAGAAAAAAATCATAACTATTAAGTATGGAGATGATAACACTAACCTGAATGTTTATTACAATAGACAACTGATTTCGTTAAAAAGTAAATTCTACCTGAATACTTGTCCATTTAAAAGTTTATCGATATGTACAGATGAAAAATAACCTGCTTTCACAACTATACACTAATGCTTCTACTAATTATACTCAAGCAAATAAAAGTATATGCACCCGTGTTTTGGAAAATTAAAATATATTCATCAGATTGAAATTTTCTTATTTTTTTAAAATTTTTCTGGTAATTTCTTAGTGAAATATATCATCAGCATTTTTGTGGTACTCGACCCTCATACATTTTCAAGTCTTACCGAATAATTTAATCTGATGCAAATACAATGCACCATAATAATTATGTAGAACAATTTTAAGAATAAATGAAGTGGTAAATCATAAGGAAATGCGTAAACTACTCACAAGTAGTACACGATCTTGAAAAAAATATAATGGACATTACTGTTCAGAGAGGGACATATATGATAAGTTCAGAGAAAAACGTATATACTTCTATCGATTGCTTCGAAATATTACTCTAATACATGACCATATTTCTTATTTTCTACAGTCTTCAATTTGGATATAAGGACATTATCTTTTTATGTTGTTACTTGTATTATCCCGTCATTCACCGCACCTCTATTGGCTAGTAATGGAATCCCCTACTTAGTTAGTGATAGCTTTTCCCAGAGACAAACGAATAAAAAGGGTTAACCACCTGAACTGTAAAACACTGATACTGACGTGGTAGAATGTTGTTTGAGCTTAAGAAAACTTGAATTGATAATTTGCAGTTAGTTACTATGCATTTCATGTAGAATTCATCATTTAATGTTTGGTATGTGTGGATGCTTTAAAATGGAACGTTTTGTTACTGGATTTACTATAAGAAACGTTGCTGTCTGTTTTTTGAATGCGGTTGTTAGGAATAAAGTCTATGGAATTAATTGCTTGTGTGCTTAATCCATAATTCTATTTTGCATCCTAATTGTTAATGGGATCATCTGAGATTGTAACCGAATTTAGGATGATTGAAAGTGAGATGAAGATATGTCTGACGACAGAGTTGAAACCAGCAGCCCTCAGATGAGAACTGTTTAATTACCTTTCAGGATGATAATAAGTGACAACACTGTAGGCAAATGTGAATCTGCATCAGTGTACGGATTTGTTAACTAGTCTATCTCCTATTTATTGACATACTTAGAATTTCCGTTGTTTGTTGTGTTGGATCGAATTGTTCTACCTCTATTGGCATATGGGCTCCTATGCGAATGCCTCTATATTGCCTGAATGCTAATCATGATAATTTGGATGGTCGTGGCAAGCAGAAGAATCCAGGACCTGCAGTTCACCCATTTGGGACTCGTCAGCCGGAATTACCTGCACCCTAGTGATGTTGTTACCACTGAGACTTGAACCTCATACCCATCGATCCAAGCGGCAAGGCATCACCCAACAAAACAACCAAGAATAACAAGCATGTCAATTAATAGCAATAACTACTACCCGTTGCACAAGAAGTGGCTATCGCTCCTCCGTGGAATAGTGGATAACGCCTTGGCGTTTGGAGTGATGGATATGAAGTTCGAGTCTCAGTGGGAACAACATTACTCCATAATGGAGTGTAGGTACATCCAGCTGACGAGTCCTGGTATCCTGGTATCTGCTATCCACAAACAACCAAATTAGTCTATCTCGTGTCTATAAATCACAACTAATGATGGTATGTTTTTCAAGTTGTTACTCTTTTGTCGTTATCACTTAGGGGGTAGTTCTACTGGACCTTATTGAAAAGAATTATATGTATGTATCCCTAGATATCTCCTAATATTCTGAAATTATAACGAAAAGCATAAAAACGATTAAAAAGATTTTAATCACAAAAAGCGTTGATCATTGTATAATAAATATCAATGACTGCGAAACATTATATAACTTTGCTATACTATTATGAGACTCTTGAGTGTTGTATCTATAGTCTACCAGATAGGACACAACTCATCATCCTGCAAGGATTCATCGAAATCATTGTTCTGTATATAGTGAATCAAATAAGATGAAATACCAATTTAAAACTGTGTGTTGATTGAAAATGAAATGAAAATCTAAGCGGTGGCAACGTTCAAACCGGCAACCTACAGGTTTCCGCCCTGATGTCAGTGCAAATCTGATACACTAATAAGCTAACAATTCCCCTGATCAACAATATTTTTTCAGTTTGAATTTCATATTAGATTCAACTGTATCCTTGATATACAATTAATCAGTTATTCCAATCCATCAACATAAGTTTTTCTACTTCAACTACAGACTTATTTTTATATAATTAAGCAACTTATCAATTTGTTGGATAACCAACCCAGAATTTTAGAAACTTACATATTCATATGAGTTTGTTGATTAGTCTTCGAACATCAAGACCATATGTTTCACTAATATAAGTGTAAAACTTCGGCACTGTGGTCGAGTGTAATTCCATTTTAGTATGTTTATTAGAAATATCATACAGTGAAACAGTAGCATTTACTGGATAACGTTTCGGACATAATTTATTGTCCATATTCATATCAGGTGACATGATCTGAATATGAATATGGACAATAAATTATGTCCGAAACGTTATCCAGTAAATGCTACTGTTTCACTGTGTGATATAATAAACATACTAAAATTGAATTACATATTCATACTTACTTATTCACATGAAACTGAACAATCGACAATAAATATGAGGTTAAATAGTGATGGCATGAATAGAGAAAATAAATCTATGCTTAAACAGAGCATAGACTAGTTGAAACTAAAAAAATTGAAATAATAGCCGAATATTCACGAATGCATAAAAGAATGATATTAAGAAGCAATAAATGATCTATTGAAGTACAACAAAGGATATTCTGGGCATAGTATTTCTTTAGGAAATTTGATACAGATGACTGTTTGTTTTCAAAACATCCTAAGGTCACTATCTGAAAAGCATTGTACTGTTGAAATAAATCTGATATTCTGAGCATATGCCGAAAATATTTTCATATCACAATGAGACCGGTAAAAAATTGTAGTTTATTTTAGAAAGATAAACTAGAAAATCAGCTATCCCTTTGAAAAGTGTCCAAGATACTACTTCAATGGCTTATGCAACAAAACTCTAGATAAAAATAGAAAATTTCCCATAAGTCAGGAAGAGAGAAAGAAACCTTTCATTAAAAAATGTTGACTAAGATGTCAACATGTTGGAAAGATCCTTTGAAGAGGTCTTATTTACTATAAACAAACAATCACGATTCAATATCAAGTATTATTATGTACCCGTAAAGAAAAGCATAACCTTCAACTGTAATTCATCCACTAAAATCCACTATAGAATTGTAGTTATATTATAAACAGCATCCATTGGAAACAGCGTTACTACGCAGTATAGCCCAGCTAATGCAAATATAACATCCTGGAAGGTAAAGCTTTCATGCATGCACAGTAATTATTAGCGTCTACATCTAATTTCCTAGAGAAGACACAGGTGATGAAGATACATAACCAACAACAGCATCAACGACAAGTACCAGTCACCATGAACGGGAGAAACCTGAAGGAAGCTGTCTCTGACACCTACACCCAACTAGGCAGCCAGCAATTTTCTAACTGCAGGTGGCACAGGCACACACGAGGATGTCGAAAGTAGTTGGGGTCGGAAAAGCAAGACAAGCTTTCACTAGTCTGAAATCATTATGCAGATCTGCTGCACTACACTCAGTACAAACAACAAGATCCGAATTTTCACCACCAATGTCAGTGAAGTCAGTGCTACTATGTGATATGGCGCGTTGCGAAAAGCACTTCCAACAAACTACAGACATTCATCAACAACTACCGTCTACACTCGCTCACTCGATACTGAAGATGAGACCAGATGGCCAGAAAGAATAAGCAATAAGGAACTGTGGGAACGAACCAACGAAGCAAGAACCTATCCCCCAACAGATTTGCAGAAGAAAGTGCAGATGGATTGGGCATGTACTGAGAAAGCCGATTGGAGACGTCACGCACCAGACCAGGCCATGCCGTCGAGTGGAAGCCAAAGGGGAAACGACGAGTCGGGCGTCTGAGGCGAGGGTGAGATTGAGGAGGTGGTGTGAGGAAGAAATGAGAGTTTGTGGGCAGTCGTGGAGCCAGGTTGAGAAGACTGGAGAGAAGAGAGTGCAATGGATGCGTGCTTCTGAAGCTGTATGTTCCACTAGGTACCCAAGGGAAAAATAATAATATAATACTTCCAATTTTATTTGTCGTAAACACTCAGCATTACTGCCTAACAATTAAATCCATCTTATATACTGTACTTATTAACAAGAAAATACTTCTTCAACCCTGTTATTTTAACAATTTATAAACAAAACAGATAATTATCTTAAAAAGTCTTTTCATAGTATTGAATTAATTAGTACTTGTTTGAATCACTGTGTCAGTGTCTACATTTGCATACCTTAAACTGGCACCCACAACCAATTCATAATGTACTCAAATTTGATAAAGTTGTCACCATAATTCATGGATTCTCACTTGAACCTGATAAGGGTATTAATGGAGAAAAAGATCAATTAATTATACTATTCATCTAAAAATGTAATACGTAGAACAATCAATGTCTAGGTACTAAATTCAGATAACTGAAAAAAGGATGTAATGTAAACTAATATGAGTATTTGTCAAGTCATTCAAAACTACATCCATTGGAAACTAGT